ATGGATGGATGGATGGATGGATGGATGGATGGATGGATGGATGGATGGATGGATGGATGAATGATTGATTGATAAATAAACATATGTTTATTTCAGTAGGAATCAAATGCAGCATTGAAATATTCCTGAGCGACAAAATAAATAAAATTAAGCATGAACGCTGATCTGCCAAGAAAAGGTCCCACAGAGTAGCGAAACCCTTTTTTTCTTCTTATAAGACCGGCTGTTGTAGACAAAACTTCAATGATCTTATATTTATATTTAACCATGCATCAGGAAGTCAATGACTCTTTTCTTCACAATTTTGACAATGAACTTGACTTAGGTTCTATTTCTGGCAGCAACTTCCTCAGCGATATGGAAATTAATCAGCCCCTCGATTGAATATAATCGAATTCTTTTTCGCCAGAAAAAATGCTTTATTGATACAATGTTGCTAAAATATAAAAAATAAAGACTATAAGCTATGTAAGTCTGATGGCCGTAAAATTCTCTTCAAACCGTTTTAGTTTTTTTTATAGTTCCAATGAACTCGCGCATATGTTTTTATACCGTGGCTATATGTAATATTTCAAACGCTTTTCAGACAATTTCAGCACCGGCGTGCGTCGGTGGACGAGCAGCTAAAAGCGCTTTATTTATATATATATATATATATATATAAATTTCTTTCATTCTTTCTTTCCTCCTCAAGCTTTTTCCCCAACCGTTTTTCATAATTTGCTAATATATCTATTTCCGGCAAGAGAGTACTCTCTTGATTTCCAGGTAGAAGCAATATATTCAGGAACAATACAGTATTCGAAGTTATTTTTAGTCCAGGTAACCGAAAATAAGTTCAAGTAGAGAAAGTCCACTGAGGGGTAGAGAAAGTTTCGTGATTCCGAGCTAGCAGACTTATTTCTCACCTTCAATTGAGTCTTATCTTAAAAAAGAGTTTGTGAAGTTTCTCAGTACTAAATCCGGTAGACAAATTAAGGAGGGAATGTTTTTCAATAATGAACAATAATGGCAAAAAGCGCCAAAAACTAGACTTTCGTGTGAGTTTTGATCCCAATTTTCGTTTTGGGTTAACACTCAAAACCTTTTTTAAACAGTTAGAAACTGATGTACTATGATAAAATGCCTGTTTGAAGCGGTATTTTCAATTGTACAAAGATATTTGTTGTGGCATTTGTGTTAGAATGTTGCTTTGTCAGGCTTTTTTATAGAAAATATATGGGAAATAAGCAAATGAAGGCCTAAATCTCATTTTSGAATTAAATTTTTGCTTTGGGTTAACACTTTGATTCCACTTTCATCGGTCATCTCCACTTCCAAACAAGTTAAACTTTCTGAATATCAAGACTTTAGCCTTGTACAACAGCCTTTCTTCAAGAAAATAGTTTTTGGCGCTCACTGCTTTAATACCAAAAGAATTCTCTCTTAATATTAAATAAAATAGGCCACTTTCGATATCTAAAATGTCAGACTTTATTGCTAGACGAGCAGTATTATGTGTGCCGATAAAAACACATGGATCACGAAATATATTGGTATTAATATAATAATAAAAGAATGTACTGTTAGTACACAGTATCTCCGAGGCAGGGATGGACCTTCCAAGAGCTTTGCTGATTCGTTTTTAATTCTCGACTTTCCATCCCCATAATCCTTTGCGTCTTTGGGGGGTAACCAGAGGGTAAAAACCCACTTATTTTGCTGAAGGCTGATCAGACAATGTTGAAAATACCTTGTTTGGTATCCAAAGATAAAATGAAGAAGTAAAAAACAGAAAAAGATAGAAGCTTGAAGACGTTTAAGGTAAATTTTAAACATTTTTTCGTAAGTCAATACATTTTCTGTAAGACCAAAACTCTTGATGATCTGTAGACGCAAAAATAACTTGGAATAAACTGATAATCAGTGTTGTACAGATAAAAGCAGGTATAGTATAAATTCAATTAAGAAACCTTTCAATTTGGGACAGTTTTTAGATTGGTTACCCCCAAAAAACGCAAGGCATTATGGGGATGTGAAAGTCGAGAATTGTGTTCTTCTTGTGCTGCTCTTCTACAGCCACACATACACTCGTTTCTTTTAAGAATTAAAATTCTTAGTGCGAAGGTTTTTAAGCCTTATTCAAGCGACCCAAAGGCAGAACTTCCTGAGATGAACTAATTTAACATAAACATTTGCCAATTAAGGAGGCCTAAGGGGTGGTCTTAAACAGCTGCGTACAGAAAAGAACTTCCTAATTCGACACTAACCTAAACAGTTCTGTGTGCATTAATAATCTCACCTGATTACAATATCGATCAATGAATTACAAATGCGTCATAAACGAATGTTAACTTGAATACAATAATGACTCTGGCCATGACTTTAGCCATACACCTACAATGTGTAACTACAAAGTTCATGAAACTATAAATTAATCTTGTCCATAATCCTCAATGGAAATGTAACTTTAAAACGTTGGTTCGGCCCTAGCACAAACCACTATTTAACCAAAACAACTAGATGCTATTAAAACCTAGTCCATTATACCACACAGCACTTTGGTAAAGAAAGATAAATCATATAAAACTGTGGCATAACAGTACCATATACGCATACGATGTTCATACCTTTCGACAATAAGTTTGGTACAAATGGTAATCAGTTCACTACTCAACAACATTATAATTGAATCTACAGTACTATAGTAATTTTAAACATTTTATTCCTGAGAGCCTCTGTATGTTAAGTCTTCTTTGCAGCCATCGTTAGTTTCGGTCCCAGATGTGCCGTCCTGCTATGACTTAGCGTCTTGCTGAGAGTATTTATGGATTAAATAGCTACGTGTACTTGAATTGGTAAACAGAAGCCGACAGTATCCCGGCGTGTCAAGCATTCACTTGTAAATTCAATTGCCTTTGAAAAAAGTCGAAAAAATTAAAAAATTAATGAACTTGCTTAAGACTGAAACAACTTTCGTAATATTGAAAAATAGTATTCTTTATGATAATGATAATAAATATGGTGATTAAAAATTAATGATGATGAATATTCTATTTTATACACCGAATCGAAATATGGCGACCAATTTGAATAGCTATTGTTATGCACTGACTAGCGACTGACTAGCCTCCTATACATGTGAAAATGCTTTTATGTTTCCACGTGAACACGAGGCTAGTCAGTCGCTAGTCATCGCAGAACAATAGTTATTCAAATTGGTCGCCATATTTCGATTCGGTGTATGCTTATCATGGCTGGATCCGTGTCATAATAAACACACTGTGCGAAAAATAATATTTTGCGTTTTCGTTAAAATGTGGTTAAAAATGTAATTATTTCAATAAAGATGAAGTATACTTACGTTTCAAAGCAAAAATCTTAATCATGTAGTCTAAATTAGTTTGGTAATGAGAATTAGCTTCATAGTACTCAAAGATTTTGTTAACTGATTCGCTTTAAAATCCCATTGAAAATTTAACAAATCAAACATTTTGACGAAAACAACATTAAAAAGATTTTTTAGGTGAAATTTGAGTTGTTTCGAAGCTACTAAATTGGAGTTCTTTTATCCAAAAAGACAGCTGGATTTTAATGAATTTAAGCGAAATTAAAGATCGATCAGATGCTATAATAGAAGTGAACGTTGAAATTGCATTAAGTCACTGCGTTGTGAGTAAACGAAACTGTTTGCAAGGAAAAAAAGATTGCCTTGAGAAGTCGACAAGAAACGACCGTCTTTTGAATCTCGATCCTACTCAGTTGAAGGTAATGTGTTTGTAAAATACTTAGATTGTGGTTGTAGCTATGTTGATAAGACTAACGAAGGGAAAACATAAGTTTAACTAGTTGTTCTAAAGATTTTAAATAGAATAGACGGTCATGTAGACCGTTTGAATTGTCGGTTTGTTCTTCAAGTGATTTTAGCTCTGGAAAGACTTAAAGCGATAGCAAACAAAATGCTAAGAACGCATAGTGAAAAACCCCGTGAGACATTTACATGTGAGAAGAAGTGCTGGTGGTTCTCTCCCGGCATCGAGGGTTTTCTTTTTTGGGTTCTTGCTCCGGTTTTTCCTCCCTTCGCAAATCAACTTCTAAATTCCCGGCAAATGGAATCCAGTGGAAGAAAAGTCACTTCGTAGGACCAATTTCAATTGCCTTTTTTTTCTCTTCACTCGGCTATCCAAATACTAAGTGTAAATAGAAAAATAATTTGGAAATTTCCACGAAGGTTTTAAATATTTTGTTGCATGAACTTGCCAGTATCCTTTTTCAGTACTGGTATGTTTAATATTAAAAACAAACCTGGTCAATATATATTCTATATGAAGTAAAATTGTGTGAATTGTAGCACTCTACAGAAAAGAAATGCTTTTTTTAAAGTTGTCTAGGTTTTTATCCCTTGTTCAATCGCATTGCAATTATGACTGAGATATCTCCGGTTGTGGGGGTACTCTCATTTGATATTTAGCCTCTAGGGCAATGCTCCCCTAAATAGGGTATGACCGGGTTTTTTTGGGGGGGAAGGTGATTTTACTCAATTTTTACTCTGCAAACTTCCAATTGATAAATTTTCTTAGGTCTTAGATAGAGTTATATATAATTCACAGTGTTTTGTCTTCCAAGATCTTCCTTGACACATTCTAGTCTTGAACCAAGATCTTCCTGGACACATCCCAGTCTTCAACCACGATCTTCCTGGACACATCCTGGACTTGATCCAAGATCGTCCTGAGCACATCCATTCTTGAACCAAGATCTTCCTGGACACATCCCAGTCTCGAACCAAGATCTTCCTGGACACTTCTAGACTTGATCCAAGATCGTCCT